GTTTGTTTTGGTGATTTCAAATATCAACATTGGCCACCAGAAATCGCTTACCCTGCCTTTAATGAGTACACGCATAATGTAAAGACTGTTTAATTCATACTAGAAGCCGGAGGGCGGTCTTGCACAGAAACTCCAAATATCCATAGCAGAAGTAATACTACTGACCACGCTCCAGGAAGGTATCCAGTTATCGCTGAATAAAACCCAAATCGGAGATAGAGACATTTTAACTGATGAAACTTGAAGAAAATAAACATACGATTGCACAAAATATATGGTTTATCTCAAATTATCTGTTTTCTTCAATCTTGGGTATTTTTATAAGAAAAGTATATTTATAATGCAGTGTTAATCGACATGGCCTTTATCACTGTATATAATACTATCATTCTGTAATATGAAACCGCTTCTGGTCACAAAAAGAAGTATTTCAAACACTCGACTATGTTATTAAGTTAATTTGGAGAAAAAGCATGTCAATAAATTATATCTTTGTTGGACAACAGGTTTGTAAACAGGCTCATACACATGCAAAACTGTATTGTACGTGCTACTTTAGTACATTTATTCAAACCGATTTTTTGTGCACTGTACAGCCCTAACCAAACCAGTTACAGATTGTAAAAGGAGCTTGAGCTCCTCATTTAGCGATATAGGCTACTCCGCCTCAATTTCACGTCCGCCTTCCGCGATGTCGCACACAGAAATATGTCAACAACTAGACTTTATCGTTATTATCGCGAAAAGACTAATTCTTATCGTGGGGAGAATTTTTACCGATATATCGCAAACGATAAAATATCGCCAATCCCTAGTATAAATTAGTGTTCATAAGAGCAGCGCTGCTTTGAAACGCTATATTTCGGCTGTTCCATAAGCACCATCTGCTGTCAGAGAGTGAATTTGCATTCTTTTGCTTGTTTTTTTTTTAGCTTGGTTTCACAAAACTAAAGTCAGACCATTCTGTTTTTGCTTGAAATTTAAAAAACTATGCATGCTGCATGTACGCAGCATCTTGGAATGTCATTAAAATACAGTGGTTGCCTCAGTTTGTTTATACGGAGAAATTTCCTTTATTTGTGTTATTTATCTATTTGATTTGCTGTATGTTTTAAAATGTCAAATACATTTTATTTGACATTTCAATTTCACAATGAAAAGTGCAGCATTTTGTCCAAGTTTTGTCCATAAAAGGACACTTTTTGGTATATAATTTGTCTTTAAATCAAATTTTGTTCAAAAAAATCGTGATAAAATCGTATTGTGAAATCAACATTGTGAGTTGAGTGAATCGTTACATCCCTAATATTTGTAGTAGTCAAAAAACAATAAACTGGGTTAATAGTAGGGCTGCACGATAAATCGCATGCGCCATTTAACGCGCATCTTTTCAGAAAGCCGGTTCTGTAATCAGCGGTAAATCTCCATCACATGCGTGCTTTCACATTGAGCAGCATTAGCTACACAGAGCCGTAGTTCACTGACGAGCTACGCAAAACCATGTTCATATTCACGCGATTTTTTGCACAGCTCGTCAGTGAACAACGCACATGATGGAGATTTACCGCTGATTACAGAACCGGCTTTTCTGACAAGATGCGCGTTAAATATCGCATGCGATTTATCATGCAGCCCTAGTTAATAGAATGTATTTTGACAAAAAAAAAATCTTATGAACATCACCTCAAAACTGAATCTCTTTACAGAAGTGATTCGAATGAATCCTCTCCAGTCAAATTGAATCATTTCTTGATCTGGATCTCCTCATCAGTTGAATGTAGGATCTTCACGTCACTGAATCAAATGAAAGCGTGGTGTACTCCTCACAGAATTGCAGCATGTTGTAGACGATTACACAGAATTCCTGTTTTCATGACTCTTTGTAAACATTCCCAACCAGCCTGTGAAATTTTTCATGCTTCAAAATGTAGCAAAAAACGGTAAGAAGAACACATTCCTTACCGTTGTTTGTCACATTTTGAAATATTTCAGATGCCCGCTCACCTCTTTAGAGTAAACACTCATTAAGCTGAACATGAGTGTGTATGAGTTAGCACTGCGAAATGACTCTTATTTCCTGTATCCTGCAGAAAGAGAGCCAGTTTGTTGAAAAGAGAGGCTTCATAAAGACTCTTTCTCATGAAAACACTTTGCTCTCTGTTGGGGGAGACTGATGTTCCCTTGTTGGACTGCATGTTTGGGTTAGCGGACATGCGCTTTCTCTGTCAGGAGACTTTAAGAAGCTTTATTAGCATCAGAAACGAGGGATTACATTGCCAAAGCATTAATAAACATCACACATGTATACACCCACCCACACAAACACAGTTAGGATAGCAGCGTAAAGTAAGTTTGAATATCCGGTTGCTGTGTACATGTCTCCTCCTCGGCTGCTCAATAAGACATGGGCTCTCGGATCAAATGCACACACTTGTCTTTGACAGCACAATCCTCTCAGCTTACACACACAGGTCTTTCTGAGAGTGAACTTCTCACGTTACTGAACGCGTCCTCATTTGGTATTATTTGTTTCTCAACCGAGAGGAAGAAAGGAATGACGAGGAGACCGAAAGGGTCTTGAAGCTAGTCTGGTTTCTTTTGTGTGTGGAGAAAGACAGATTGTGATGGTTAGAGATGTGGAAGCATCACTTCTCTCTGCAGAAGAGACTCCGGGAGGAAAAGGGCTGGGCTAAGCAGGTAGAGTCAGCGCTGATTGGTTCATAGCCGTGGTACATTGTGACATCATGATTTGGCCTGCAAAATGAAGCAGTTACTTGTTCATTGTAGACTGTTTTGACTCCGTGATTAAACTCTATTTATGCTTTGATGATGGTTTTTAAATAACTGATTAGAGTTGATTGCAGCTTTTCAAAACCCCTGAACTTAGGCGCAATAAAAACCTGTACCATTTATGATACAGAGGTGCACTTTCTCTTTTCTAAGCAGCTAAATGACCTCATAAAATCATATTTGGGGGATCTGTTGCTAGATCATGTCTATATGCTTCGAGGCCAAGCAGATATTAACAAAAAATTCTTAATATAAAAACTATTCCAGGAAAATAGAACAAAAACATTTATGATTCATCCAGCACTATAAAAATGTTTGTCCAATAAATAGTATTCATATAAATATGTATGAATTTCTATTGTTTAATTTATTTTATGAATTTTGATATTAGTATTAGTATAATAAGAATAATTAATGTACAACAAATGAGCAATAATTAATACAATAGTAGTTACTAATAATAATCATGGTAATGATTATTATCATTATTATTAGGTGTAGTATAATTATTATTATATCATTATTATTTCTTTAAAATATTACATTACAGTTTATTCAATTTATATTAAATATTATTATTATTATTATTATTATCATCATCATTATTATTATTATTATTAAATAATCATAATTTTGTTAATAATAGTCTCGATGTTCTGGTCATTCCTACAGTTATATGGTTTGGGTCCCTGAATAAATATAATAATAATAATAATAATAGTTAATGTTATAGTAGTAGTAGTAGTAGTATTTATGTAAGATATTTTAAATATTACTTATATTAATCTTATTTCTATTAAATATTATTCTATTAAATATTACATAATCACTTTATATTAAGCATTATTACTGTGATTTATTTTTATTTTTTTGCAGGCCCCTGTCTGGAAAGTGCATTTCAGTTTTGATTGACAGATGTTGCTGTCCCATAGTTCGGTTCTCATTCTCTCTGTGGCTTTGACCTACAGTTGCTCTCTGTTGTCTGTGGCTATGTGCTGATCTTGTTTGTGTGTGTGTGTGTACATGTTTTTCTACACCGGTGGGGACTTAAACCTGAATACAGGTCCCCTAAATTGAGGTCCCCATGGGTACAGAAGCTTATAAATCATTCAGAATGTTTTTTTTGTGAGATTATAAAAATGCAGAAAGCGCATTTCAGTTTTGATTGACAGATGTTGCTGTCCCATAGTTCGGTTCTCATTCTCTCTGTGGCTTTGACCTACAGTTGCTCTCTGTTGTCTGTGGCTATGTGCTGATCTTGTTTGTGTGTGTGTGTGTACATGTTTTTCTACACCGGTGGGGACTTAAACCTGAATACAGGTCCCCTAAATTGAGGTCCCCATGGGTACAGAAGCTTATAAATCATTCAGAATGTTTTTTTTGTGAGATTATAAAAATGCAGAAAGTTTTCAGTGAGGGGTAGGTTTAGGTGTAGGGTTGGTGTAGGGCGATAGAAAATACAGTTTGTACAGTATAAAAACCATTACGCCTATGGAGAGTCCCTACAAGGATAGCTGACCAGACGTGTGTGTGTGTGTGTTGTCCTGTCTGGGTGATGGTCTAGATTCAGGTGCATTATCCTGATTAGTTAAACCCTCATTATGTGTGTGTGCTCTTCCTCATTGATTAGAGTGTCCTGATGGTGTGTGTGTGTGTGTGTGTGTGTGTGTGAGAGAGAGAGGTCCAGGGGTGTAGAAATACTTTCACTTAAGCTAAAGTCAAACAGAAGTTTACCGTGTTGTCTCTGTGTGTCTCTCTCAGGGTGAAGAGTACTGGGTTCAGGTGTACCGGCTGGAACACGGTGATGGAGGAATTCTTGACCTGGATGATGTTCTGTGTGATGTGGCCGATGACAAAGACAGAGTGAGATATGCGTTCAAACACACACACACACACACACACTCACTGCTAGCATTCTCTTCTAAAACGGGCAGCGCTCCTTTGTGTTGCTTTAGTAGTATATATTTAGTTACAGGTATCAGATGACTGTTGTCTCCCAATAACCATGACCTAATTTGAGGACGAACTCACGTACGCACACACACATACACACACACTCACACACACTGCTCTGAACTCCAGTGATTCTTTCTATTGAGGCGTCACTCACTAGACCTGAATGGAATCTGCATCTGCAGAAACTCCACAGGTTTCCACAGAATTCCAGCCTCCGTCATTCATAACACATTCTACGCATTCCACTGCTTTTGTGTTTTTAAAAAATTTTTTTTTAGATAATTTGCTAATGCCTTCAGCTACCAATTAGACAGCCACCAATAGTATTTATATAGTGTAGTATCTTTTTTTCGATATTGGGTACTTAATTTAGCATGATCAATAATATTTTACAGTTAAATTTATCTTAATGTAATCTTTAAAAATTAATTAATTTAATAACATTGTTGATTGTAATCTTTAGCAAAAAATTAAATAAATATCCATTTTTATATTGTAAGTTATAATGTTGTGATGCCAATGACATTAATTAGTTTATTTATTTATTATTATTAGTCTTTGTAATGTTGTGAATTTCCTTTTCCTTACATGTACATTGCTTGGGTCCCTTATTAATAATATCAGTAATATGATATAATAACAATAATAACAACAAAAAATGATTGTTGTTGTTCAAAATATAATTTTAAACCATTTAAAAATGTAAAACAACAGATTTTAGTTTAGACTTTAATTTTTGTTTTATTTTGACAATGGTGTACAATTTTATTTTTGGTCATTTATCACTTATTGGCAATAATAATAATTATTGTTGTTGGTGGTATTATTATTGTTATTATTATTGTTTGGAAATTGTAATTGTATTAATAGCAGTCTACATAATGTGGATGTTTCCTGTACTTATATGGCTTGAGTCCCACATTAAAAATATCAGTAATATTTATTATAATAACAATAATTATAATCATTATCTAACTTAATTAAAAACACAATTTTATTTTAGGTTTATTTTGACAATAGAATTCTAATCAGGCTAATTGGTACCGAGCAGAATTTTAATATTGGCGCATCTCTAATTAGTTGTACTGTACAGTCAAAGTCATAAAAGTAAACAGTTGTGAATATTTAATGAGAAAAATGAATGGATGAATGATTAAAATGACAGAGAGATTTTGGTTTTGTGCAGGGTAACTCTGCCCCCCTCTGGTCAAACACGGCAGTGTGCTGTCTTCTCCACATTGCAGCATGTTGCTGACCCAGAACAGATGATATCGGTTTACCCAGACCACAGACACTTTGCTAGAATGTAGTTGTGTGTTTGATGTGGTGGGTGTGTCTGGGCGTGTGCGTGTTATTTTAGTTCTCTGTGTGAAATAAAAGACACTTCACATCTGTGCCCGAGGGAGCGTGTGAGATCATTCCACCACAGTTACGCGCACACATTTATAGCTGATAGTGTCTAGTTTTACCTTAAAAGGGCCATACCTTCTATCAGCCAGTGCGCACGTCACATCCTGGTATCTCACACAGATTTACTGAATGACTCCGGCTGCACCTGTGGTCACAGGAAACACTGTCCGCTAACAGGAAGTGCTACAATACCGCTTTAATATGGTTTAGTGTAACTCATTCAACTTAGAATCACACAACAGCACAGAAACTCACACATGTATTTTAAAATCTCTATGCACAAATGTGGACTGTCTAATATTAATGGTCCATAACCAGTTTTATAATTGTCTGTGGTAAACCAAAGTCCATTTCAGGCTAAACGCACAAACCTAGGCAAACACACACTCAGAGCAGGGTTATTATAGTTTTGTGTTCTTAATTTACTTATTTATTTTTTACTTGTCCTTTTATTATTATTAGTTGTTTGTTTGTGTGTGTGTGTGTGTGTGTGTGTTTATTTATTTATTCTATATTTTAGTATTTTAGGGTATTTTAGTAAACAAATTTATATAATTTAAATGTTTTGCATTTAATTTAAATATGTAATCTGTATAATTCAAATATGTTTTACATGTTTTTTTTTTTTTATAGTGTCTTATTTTAGTTTTTTAGAATATTTATTCTATATTTTAGTTTTAGAATTTTAAGCTATGTTAAGTTACTGTGTTAACAGGTATAATTTAAAATGTTTTATGTGGTTTAATGGATTCAAAACTTTAACTAAACCTAGTTTGTAGTCATTTCTGTTTAATTTTTCTTCATGTCTGTGTTTTGGAATCATAAACTTATATTGGTTCCAGTTTTTCCAGTTTTACTACCTTTCAGAAGTTTGAGGTCAGATTTCTTTTCTTTTTTTTTAAAGAGATTAATACTTATTCAGCAGTGATGCATAAATTGATCAAAAGGGATGGTAAAGAACTAACAGTGTTTCAAAAATGTCTATTTCAAATAAACTTTCTATTCATCAAAGAATCCTCAAAAAGAAATGCTGAAGACACAAATAAATGATCTAGCACAACCATTTTTATATTTGATAATAATAAGAAACTAAGGAATATGAATAAGCTACATTTTAAAATATATTAAAATATGTAATATATTCAAATATTTCACTATATTACTCTAACTTTCTTACTGTTTTTGATCATAAATGCATTTTTGGTGAGCTTAAGAGACTTATTTGAAAAACATTAAAATAAATTAATTAATATATTATTTTTTTCCACAGAAAATAAACTTTTCCCTTAATTTGTAAAAACAAAAATTGTGTTTTTGCATTAATGGTGTAATTCTTGTGGGTGTATATTTCTTTATCATCCATGTTCTCTTTTTATGTACATTGTAAAAGTTTAGTAAAATGAAACATACATTTTCTCAATTAATTGAACTAGATTGTTACTTGATTTTATCAGCCTCATATTAACATGTGGTATTTCAGTTTTATGCCTTTATATATTTTTTTACATTTATTTGTGTTGCAGCGCCTTGCCCTGAAAAACAAAAACATAAAAACTTTGACTATGCAGTTCTGCTGTAAGACAGTAGAGGGCACCAAAGATTCAGCTTAAACATGCATCTCTCTCTCTTTCTCTCTCTCTCTCTCTCTCTTTTTCTCTCGCCACACTTTTTTATCACCATGGCTTGTCTTAATGAACAATGAAACTGCTAACGTTTGGCCCTCTGTCAGGTATTGAGCAACGCACAGCTCTTTTATGTCTAATCTACCCCCTTCTGTGATAACGTCCTCTATCCTCTACTGGACAGGAAGCGGTGGTCGGTTATAAACAGGATGTTAAAGCATCTAAACGTGCTGCTTCTGGTCAGACAATGTACGTGTGGACGTCTTGTTTGCGTGGATGTTTTCCTCAAAGCTTTAGGAAGTGTGTGAGTGATGGCGTCTTCACAGGAAGTGTCTGTGAATTGGTGCTGCAGGCAGTGTTGCGTTCGGTTCTGACCACATGATCTGGAGTGTGTGTGTGTGTGTACGTGCATAGCGTGACCAAGATGTCCCTTGACACCAGTGGCCAGTTAATCATCGCATAGATGCGTTATAATTGAAGTGCTGTGAGCTGGTGTGGCCGTCTCAAACACAAGCTCGTTTCCATTAGCAACAGGCCTCATGAGGAATTGAAGCAATGAGCCACAAGAGACTCTTTGCTCTCAGTGACACTGGTTTTACATGGGTTAAGGGGTGTTGTTCGGCACAATTTGCAACAAAAATTCCTTAAGGATGGGCATGCTTGCTTGCTTCTGTTGTCTGAAAAGAAGATATTTGGTAACCAAACATTTGCTGGTAGTCATCTGTCGTTGTTTTTTTTTTCTCAATGCTATGAAAGTCATTGACTACCATTAAATTAACTATTCCATTAAAGCAATCTCTATGCTAATTCACTCTTAAAGGGTTAGTTCACCCAAAAATGAAAATTCTGTCATTAATTGCTCACCCTCGTGTCGTTCCAAACCCGTAAGACCTTCGTTCATCTTCGGAACACAATTTAAGATATTTTTGATGAAATCTGAGGGCTCTCTGACCCTCCCATAGACAGCAAGGTAACTACCATGTTCAAGGTCCAGAAAAGTATCAAGATGATTGACGAAAGTAGTCCGTGTGACATCAGTGGTTCAACTGTAAAGTTACGAAGCTACGAGAATACTTTTTTGCGCAAAAAAAAAAAACTTTATTCCACATTTTCGTCTCTACTGCGTCACTTTGGACGCGCGTTCACGACAGTGCGCCGCCACACGCTCATCGTGAACGCGCGTCCAAAGTGACACAGTAGAGACGAAAATGTGGAATAAAGTCATTATATTTGTTTTGGTGAATTAACCCTTTAAATGTTGACAACATTGAGCAGATATACATGCCTTTAAAATTTCTCATCTGGGCAAATGAACATTAAAATATGAATGATTGATCTTGCACACTAGAGCAATACCATTTGTCCAATCAAATGGGTCTAGAATCGGTGGTGTTCTGAAATGAGGAAGTTTTTTTTAAATCAAATGTAAATTCATGTTCCAGTCACATTTTCTAGGTTAAATTAACATTATTTACACTATCAAAAAAAGAAAGAAAAAACAATTGTATTTTATGTTTTTACATTAACAACGTAATCAATATTCTATTTATTAAAGCCAAGTATGAATCTTATCAAGTTAGTGTTTTTAAGCACTTTTTAAACATCTTCTCCAAAATAATAACTCAAGGCAGTAACAATTTAAACAGTATATTTTATTTATGAACTTACATCCAGCTATTCTTTTCAGTAGTTAACTTTGATCTATTTTGGAATTTTTCAGATCATCATTCATCAAAGCTTCAAGTTTCGAAGATTACTTTAAATTTCACCAAGCTGATTACTCACTAAAAACTCCCACAGATCATGTTTCCATGCCATTTTAAGTCTTATTTTGATGTAACAAAGTGGTTATATCTAAGTGTGTGAGTTGTTTAC